ACAGGTACTTTTAAATTCCATCATTATTAAGCACTTACTGTGTGTGTCAGCCATCTTAAATCCATTCTGGAATAAGGCAAGAGAAAAATAAGCAAAATAAATCCGCATGCATTTGATGCCATTGAACTATATACTTAAAGTTAGGTGATATATCTGTATTACACACAGACACTACATATATATATAAGCTCAGTTCAGTCACACAGTCGTGTCCAACTCTTTGTGACCCCATGGACTACAGCACGCCAGGCCTCCCTGTCCATCAAAAACTCCCGGAGCTGACTAAAACTCATGTCCATCTCAAAGGTGATGCCATCCAACCATCTCATCCTCTGTCCTCCCTTTCTCCTCCCACCTTCAATCTTTCCCAGCATCAGGGTCTTTTCAAATGAGTCAGTCCTTCACATCAGGTAGCCAAAGTATTGGAGTTTCAGCATCAGTCCTTCCAATATTCAGGACTGGCTTCCTTTAGGATTGACTGGTTGGGCCTTCTTGCAGTCCAAGGGACTCTCAAGAGTCTTCTCCAACACCACAGTTCAAAATCATCAATGGTTCAGCACTCAGCTTTCTTTATAGTCCAACTCTCACATCCATACATGACCACTGGAAAAACCATCGCTTTGACTAGATGGACCTCTGTTGGCAAAGTAATGTCTCTGCTTTTTAATATGCTGGCTAGGTTGGTCATAGCTTTTCTTCCAAGGAGTGTCTTAATTTCATGGGTACAGTCACCATCTGTGATGATTTTGGAGCCCCCCAAAATAAAGTCTCTCACTGTTTCCATCATTTCACCATCTGTTTGCCATGAAGTGACTGGACTGGATGCCATAATCTTCAATTTCTGAATGTTGAGTTTTAAGCCAACTTTTTCATTCTTTCACCTTCATCAACAGGCTCTTTAGTTCCTCTTCACTTTCTGCCATAAGGGTGGTGTCATCTGCATATCTGAGGTTATTGATATTCTCCCGGCAATCTTGATTCTAGCTGGTGCTTCATCCAGCCTGGCACTTCACATGATGTACTCTGCATATAAGTTAAATAAGCAGGGTGACAATATACAGCCTTGATGTACTCCTTTCCTGATTTGGAACCAGTCTGTTGTTCCATGTCCAGTACTAACTGTTGCTTCTTGACCTGCATACAGATTTCTCAGGAGGCAGGTCAGGTGGTCTGTTATTCCCATCTCCTTCAGAATTTTCCACAGTTTGTTGTAACCCACACAGTCAAAGACTTTGGCATAGTTAATAAAGCAGAAATAGATGTTTTTCTGGAATTCTCTTGTTTTTCTGATGATCCAGTGGATGTTGGCAATTTGATCTCTGGTTCCTTTGCCTTTTCTAAATCCAGCTTGAACATCTAGAAGTTCACAGTTCACAGTACTGTTGAAGCCTGGCTTGGAGAATTTTAAGCATTACTTTACTAGTGTGTGAGATGAGTGCAATTGTGCAGTAGTTTGAACACTCTTTGGCATTGACTTTCTTTGGGATGGAATGAAAACTGATCTTTTCCAGTCCTGTGGCCACTGCTGAGTTTTCCAGATTTGCTGGCATATTGAGTGCAACACTTTCACAGAATCATTTTTTTTAGGATTTGAAATAGCTTAATTGGAATTCCATCACCTCCACTAACTTTGTTTGTAGTGATGCTTCCTAAGACCCACTTGACTTTGCATTCCAGGATGTCTGGCTGTAGGTGAGTAATCACCCCATTGTGGTTATCTGGGTGGTGAAGATCTTTTTTTGTATAGTTCTTCTGTGTATTCTTGCCACATTTTCTTAATAGCTTCTGCTTCTGTTAGGTCCATACCATTTCTGTCCTTTATTGGGCCCATCTTCTCATGAAATGTTCCCTTGGTATCTCAGATTTTCTTGAAGAGAGCTCTAGTCTTTTCCATTCTATTGTTTTCTTCTGTTTCTTTGCATTGATCGCTGAAGAAGGCTTTATCTCTCCTTGCTATTCTTTGGAACTCTGCATTCACATGGGTATATCTTTCCTTTTCTCCTTTGCCTCTCGCTTCTCTTTACTCAGCTATTTGTAAAGCTTTGTCAGACAACCATTTTGCCTTTCTTTTTCTTGGGGATGGTCTTGATCACTGCCTCCTGAACAATGTCACAAACCTCCATCCATAGTTCTTCAGGCACTCCATCTATCAGATCTAATCCATTGAATCTATCTGTCACTTCCACTGTATAATCATAAGGGATTTGACTTAGGTCATACCTGAATGGTCTAGTGGTTTTCCCTACTTTCTTCAATTTAAGTCTCAATCTGCAATAAGGAGTTCATGATCTGAGCCAGAGTCAGCTCCCTGTCTTGTTTTTGTTGACTGTATAGAGCTTCTCCACCTTCAGGTGCAAAGAATATAATCAATCTGATTTCAGTGTTGACCATCTGGTGATGTCCTTGTGTAGAGTCTTCTCTTGTATTGTTGGAAGAAGGTGTTTGCTATGACCAGTGCATTCTTTCGGCAAAACTTGAGCATAAACTCAGGCTTCGTGGTGGCTCACTGGTAAAGAATCTGCCTGCAATGCAGGAGACTTGCAGGAGACACAGGTTCAATCCCTGGGTTGGGAAGAAAGGAAATGGCAGCCCACTCCAATATTCTTGCCTGGAAAATCCCATGAACAGAGGAGCTTGACATGTATGTGTATGTATATGCATATATACACATATATCTGAATTCAGTGGGACTCTAACATTTCATAATTGTCATTTAAAACTGCATTACAGTTTTGGATACAAGTTGGTTTCTCCAAAGGACTCAGTCACTTTGGGGACAAAGACTTTCTTAATCCTAGCTGTAGCTCCAGGATCTAGAACACTGTCTGGCTCTTACAGGGAGGACATTCATATTCTGGCTTTGCCAACTGTTTGATGTATTTTAATTATAATTTTCAACCAATCAATGTAATAAACATGTTGCTACTGTTTAGTTGCCAAGTAGTGTCCAAGCCTTTGAGAGCCCATGGACTGTAGCCTGCCAGGCTCCTCTCTCCAAAGGATTTCCCAGGCAAGAATACTGGCATGGGTTGCCATTTCCTTCTCTAAGAGCTCCTTCCCACCCAGGGATCAAACCACCATGTCCTGCTTAGTAGGTGGATTTGGGCGAATTCTTTACCACTGAGCCATCTGGAAAGCCCAACGTATTGAACATATGAAGAGTTTTTAAACTTCTGAAATACTTATCAGAAAAAATCTTTATCATGTGGAGTTCAGAAAACATCATCAAAGAACACTAGACCTTCTTCAAATGTTTGTAAACAAATGCGTTAGACTTTAGAAGACAAAAAGATAAACCTAAGCCCTAGCATCAGCCCAACAGATCTTACATGCAGCAATAAAAGTTCAGGACAGCGTACTTAAAAAGTATGCTAATGAAGCCATCCTTCAAGTAGCTATCTAACTAAATAATCCCTATCACTTTCCTTAATAGCTTTTAACAAAGCCAAGGTGTCTCAGCCTCATGTAATAAAAGTCACCCAGTTGCTTAGAATATCCATCCATTCACTGCTCAGACAAAAGCTAAGGGTTGGAGATTTTATTGACATTCCTGAATACCATAGTGTCATTTCTTGAGCCCAAACTTAAGACTAACTCTAGGTTACTAATAGACAGGTTATCTTGGATGTTTACTACACCAGGGAAAGCTGGCTTTTTTCCATTCATGAGGGTAAAACCGTCCCACCTCCTTCACTTTAGATTCAGTTAAACAATTCAAGAAACCAGTTAATTAAATTCTAAGCTCAGAGGGATACTACAGCCCAAACCATAGTGCAGCGGTAATCGGTCTGCCAATGCAAGAGATTCAAGAGAAGCGGGTTCGATCCCTGGATTGGGAAGATCCCTTGGAAGAGGAAATAACAACTCACTCCAGTATTCTTGCCTGGAAAATTCCACGGACACAGGAGCCTGGCGGGCGACGGGTCCATGGGATTGCAAAGAGTCCGATACGACTGAGCGCGCGCGCCCGCGCGCGCGCACACACACACACACACACACACACACGCACGCAACCATAGTGCAGCGCTTGGGAAATGGTATCTTTAAAACACCGTGCATTAAAAGTTGCCAAAGGTCGACAGCCGCTAACACGTCTCGAAATGTACAGACCACACCCAAGTTTCACCAGCTGAGCACCTTACTGGTCTCTGAGCGGCGCAAAGCAGAAGAGAGAGAAAAACCCAAGTTAATCGTTTGGGCTGCGGAATAATCTGTAAGGTTTGAGTCTCGAAGCTTTTGGGGTTGTGGAGATTAGAAAGGGATCCCTTTGCGTTAGGCCTAAACTTGGGCTAGAAAAGAGAAAGGGGGCCTGGCGAAAAGGAAAGGAGTAGGCTCCCGACTTCCAGCGTTCTCGGCAGGGCCGTTAAACGCAGCAGGAAAGCGGGCGTGTGTTTTCTTCCTCCATTTCCCGCCTCCCAGGAGACGCGAGCCCAAGCCCGTTCCCCTCCTTTACACCCCGACGGGGTCCAATGGCAGTCCCCGCCGCGAAGTCGCGTCGGAAGCCATCCCGCCCTTGGGGTCCCCTACGCCCCACCTTCCCAGCCCGGCGGGAGGCTGGGCGGGGAGGGGGGTGGGGGGTGGCCGTGGCCGTCACGTGACCTGGCTGCCGCCAAGTGAGGCCGCTTTTGCGACGAGGTGACAGCCAAATGGTGCGACAGGAGGAGCTGCCGCTGCGGCCGCACCGCCCTGCACCGAGAGGCTCAAGGCGGCTCCTGGCGTCGCCCAGAGGCAGCGACTGAGCAAGGGAGTCCGGCGCAGACGGGCGGGCGAGCGGCGGCGGCGGGCGGCGAGGGGGAGCCCGCTACGAGTACCCTCGCTCCCCGCCGCTCTCCATGAACCCGGCGAAATAAGCCGCGCCTCCAGCAGGGGCTGCGCTTCCATGAATCCCTAGGTTTTTTTCTTTCTCTCCCTGCCTCTCACCCCCCACCCCGGATCCCGTCCCGCCTTCTCCCTTCGCCGGCAGCGGCTGCGTCCAGGTGCGGAGTCCAGAGCGGATCGCAATGGCGTCCAACCCCGAACGGGGGGAAATTCTGCTCACCGAGCTGCAGGTAAGGGCCGCGGCCCGGGCGCGAGGCGGTGGCGGGGGAGAGAGGGAGGGAGGGAGGGAGAGGGTCTGGCTCCGGGTAAGGGGCCGTGGGGAGTCGTGTGGCCGCCGCGCCCCTAGCCCGCTAAGTGCGGAAACTCGGGGATGTCACTCGGGAGCCGCTTCCTTCTGAAGCCAGAGCTTCTGGCCCCACCGGAGCCCTAGCCTGCCACCGCTTTAATTTGACTCTACCCACCAGAGGGACCCCATCTTGCGGCCGAATTCCGCTCTCACCCGGTGCGGGGGCGGCCAGCTCGCTGCCCCCTTCTTAGTGTCAGAGCCGCCCGGGGACACCCCTGGCGCCCCCTCCCTCCTCTTGGCCGGGCCCCGCCCCGCCTTTCCATGGAACACCGCTCCTTAAACTCCTTTGAATGACTCCCAAGCTGTTTTCTCGTCCCTCCCCTTCCCCTCCGACTCCGCACAAAGAGCGCCCCCATAACTTCCAGCCCCCAGACAAGTTTTTTTTTTTTCTTTTTTTTTTAAGGAAAAAAAAAAAAAGAAAGGGGGGGGGAAGTATCTCACCAAATGCTTGCTTCACTTCACCAGCCCTCTTCAGGTGACTAGATTTCTTTCTTTTTTCTTGCGGGCTACTCTTTTTGTTTTTTGTTTTTTGTTTTTTTTACAAATAGATACAGGTCCCCTTCTCAACTACTCCCCTGCTCAGATCCGGAGGCCCAGATGCTGATGCTTTTCAGGCTTTCATTTTCCCTCCTGTTTGAATACCAGAAAAAGAGCTACAGAAGTTGTTTACAAAGGGCAAAGCAGTCGACTCAGGGAAAATGTTGGGCACCACATGCTTGCAGAAGATGAGAACAAAATAGATCCCTTAATTAGTTAAGTCCACGTTGAGTAGCAATATTATTCTTTCCATTTTCCAGCTAAATATTTGATGATGTAGGCATGATTTTTGTTTTTAGATCTCTATGATGTGCGCTACCTTGTAGAGTTTATTTTTTTACTTTGGAGTGTACCAGAGATGTTTACATCTGGATTAAAGTTTCATGCTTGTTCTGTGACTTAAACTTATTTTGGTTTGTTTAAATATAGTCGTTTTCTAGCTACTCGAAGATTGAGATGGAAATTAAGAGAAGAAAAAAATAGCCCACTTATATTGATTTGTGTGTGTGTGTGTGCTGGGCAATTAATTTTTTTGAGAAGACTTAATCTAGGCACCCTGAAGGATTGATTCTTGATTTCAAAATTCAGTTGCTTCTACATTTTTTGCTGTTTAAATATATTTTTCGGTAAAATCCTATATTAGTTGATTTATTGTACATTTAGATGTAAGCTTGACGGCACTGTTGTAATACTTGATATATCCTCCATAAAAATAGAAATTTCAATAAGGTGAATCAATGCACGTTTGTGAATTTGGAATCCTTTAGAAACGCACAGCTGAATTTCATATTATTGAACATGTTGCTGTATAGTGTTTTAATTACTCAGCTTTTTCTAAGGAGGTCTTAACAGCATACTGGTTTGCTAAATGAATGGAATTTGTTTTATTACTTTACATGAGCTTTTGAAGTGAAGTTTGAGGCACATTGGAAATGCTTTCCATTATCTAGTCTTGAAATATGAAAAGCATACTAATGACTGAAAAAAACCTTGAAAATGACAGGAGAATTTTCATTGAGTAGAGTGGCTTCAGAATCATAAAGTATTTGGTATCCTTATTTATATTTATAGAAAGTTGACATAAAAGATAAGATTTAGGAACTTTTGATAAGACCATTTTTTACAGTAACAAAGAAGCATGTTAAATAAATGGGAATATTTAAACATGAGTATTTTAAAATGGGACCAAAGCAGGGGAACATCCAATCTAAAGCTACACTTTTAAATAAACTAAAATATAATCCCTCCAGGAAAATAATAGTTTCTATTAAATGTTGCTGATAGGTTGTCATGTATATCCAGGGCAGTTTTCTTGGTATACTTGACTCCTAGTTCTAATAAAGGTTATTGCATTTGAACTTTATCATGTTTATTAAAATAATTGAGAATAGTATTTATATCAGTACTCAAGATAAACCTTGATAAAATTTGCTTCACAAGTATTATGCATCTGTTCAGACATTGTGTTATTTCATTGGGTTATGAAACTAGAATATAGTAACCAAGTATTTATCAAACTTGTTTGGAGAACCAATTTTTTAAAACCTTCTAAGTTGTTTGAATTTATTTAAATTGAAAAGTTGTTCAATGTGAGGTTCTTAATGCTTTTCTGCTGTACAGATTTTAAGTATTTAAATAGTAATTTGTGTAGCAAATTTTTAAATTGTTTAGTTGAAAACTGTTACTTTCCCTTATCTTATCTCACTGAAAATTACATGTTACAGCCTCTTTTAATGAAATTGATATTTATTTAGAAATATTGTATATCCAACTTTTAAAAATTTATTTTTCAAATTATATTGCAGAATTTGAAATACTTTACTACTTGAGATGAAACCAATAACTTTTGGTTATGAAAAGACAAAGAAAACCTGAAACCAGTCTTCTTAATTACTTTAATATTTCTGTATAATGTTTCTCACTCTTGTTAGTCATTTAGGAGGCTTATTCAGCAAGGAATCATTATTAAAGTATACACAAACTTTGATGGCTGGAGGCTTTAATATGTAAGGAAGAATATTTGCTGTGATAAAAACAAAAATAGGTTGTTAAAAAATATAAACTTGGTTGGCAATTTCTAATTAATTATCTCTTATAATTAACGTCCTGTTCTCTTGTTTTTTATTTGAAGTGTAGTGGGAAAATTAGTGAGATACTTTTGTGAAGCCAAAGAAATTAAAAGTTTAATACCATGAAAACTGAATTAATCAAAACTATATAAAGAATCTCAAAATGAAAATGTTGGCTGTGACAGTAACTTTGTACAGTGCAGACTCAAATATTGAGTAGCATACTAATAAAATTACCTGGTTGATTATTGGAAATTCATCTTCATCAGAATGGTTAATAAAGTGTTGGGAATCTTAAGTTCCCTTCTCAGCAGAATTTGTTTAGGTAGAGGTGACTTGCTTAAGTGGAAGGTTGAGTTAATTAGTCTTAAGTTACAGGGTTTCATTTCAAGAAACATTTATTGAGTAGCTACCAAAGGTATATCAGAGGGCATAAAGATGACAGGATATGGCTTTCACTTTCTACAGGAAAGTAAAAAAACATTTCTTGATTATCTGCTCTATGTCAAACATTGTACTTGGTACCCTGTGTACTTTATATAATCTTGAAAACCATCCAGTAAAGTTAATGTTGTTATTTCCATTTTACAGATCAGGAAACTAAGTTCAGAAATAGTAAGTCATTCATGTTCACACTGTAAGTCTTGAGTTTGAGTTTAGATTTATATTTTTCCCACTATACCATTTGTAATATGTGGACCCATAAATAAATGTTTTGTATTCTGATGTTGTAAATATGTGAACTTTCTAAAAATTGGCCCAGAATATAGTTAAACAAAGCTAACTTTAATATAAACTTCCCTTTGTTTGGTTCCCCCTATAACAAGGAAAAGTGATTTCCACATTTAGTTAGGTCATTTAACAGTACTTTTATTACTGCAGATAAGGTGTAACATTCTATAAAGAAAAACAGGTCAAATAACCTTTTTTGCAGGTTTTCTTCATTTAACAATTACTGTTTCTGATGAAAGTTGTCAAATGTTTGCTCAAAACTTTTCAAAAGATTTCATATTTCTCTGTAGACTGTCCATAAGATAAACTTTGCTTTAAAAATTTAAACTATGTAACCTGGCTATGCGTTTGCACTGAGTGAGTACTCAGTACATTGATGCAAAGGTTTAGCTTGTCACCTAGGATGAGAAATGTCTTGACTGTTAAAAGTTGCTTATGATTACTTAGTTTTCTTTAATTTACATAGCTAATCCCTTGTCCCCAGAATATTCCCTTATAAAGTTCAAAAGGATTTCTGCACTAGTTATGTTAAATCTACATATAGCACTCCCTTATTTTACCCATTTGATGGGAAATTAGGAGGTGACATCTAATTTTGCAGTGATACTGAAAAGTAGACGGTGTCTGTGTTGTGAGGATTAGGACTTTAGTGTGAGTTGGAGGAATGTAGTATGAGAATGTAGGCACATGGGTAAGACAAGTTTCACAGCTTTTTTCAAGTTATGAGTATAATACAGGTTTATTCTAGAAAATCAGGAAAGTGCAGAAAAGCACAAAGAAAATAAAATGTGCTCATAGTCTCATAGTTCTATCAGTCAGTTAACTGACAAACTTTTCCAACTTATGAGTCCCAGGGCATTTGAGTTCATTTCCTCTTTTTCCTCCCTTTTATTAAAAAAAGAGAGGGAGGGGGAGACATTTGACATAGAATGTGTAATTTTAAGGTATACAGCATATGATTTGTTATTTTTTCTTCCTTCTATATCTGTATTACTGACTAGAAATTTACAGAGAAATGAGGTTCATAGAGTTTTAAGACAGAAATAACTATAAGCTAAAAATTGCCACTAGTTCTCGTAAATGGATCTAATTAGTTTTATTGCCTGCTTTTGTCTCAAAATATTTTGATTTTGAGTAAGTCTTTGTGCTGAAACTAGTATTATAAAATGATAGCTCTAAAATGGTCATGTTTTCTTATTGTCTCTATAGTTCTAGTCTCCTTACAGCTCCTGCTGTTCACAAATGATCAATACACTTTAAAAATTTTTTAGTTTTTATGTATGTATTTTTGGCTATGCTGGGTCTTCGTTGCTTTGCGAGAGCTTCCTCTGGTTGCTGCGAGTGGAGGCGTTGTGGTGTGTGCAGCACAGACTCCAGATGCACAGGCTTCAGGAGTTGCAGCACGTGGGCTCAGGAGTTGTGGCGCTTGGGCTTAGTCACTCCACACCATGTGGGGTCTTCACAGACCAGGGATCCAACCCACACCCCCTTCGTTGGCAGGTGGATTCTCATCCACGGAGTCACCAGGGAAGTCCTGTTTTCAGTG